GAGCGGCAGGGAGGACCAACAATCTGGTATTCCGGACGCACGAGGACGTCCATATATACCTACTCCTCCACCTAAGGGAACCCGCCCCGCGCCATCCTGCCTGCCAAGTCACGACGTTGCTCTGCAACGACCTTGACCACGAGAAGAGGAGCATGACTTCTCGTTCGCGTGTACACGCCCTCCTGGTACCTCCAGAGACAGATGCCCAATTCGAAATCTCGACTTACAATTAGAGTACACGCTCCTTCCCTCGAAATGATTCGCGATAAATAGCCGTACGTGTACAATTTACATACAACGCGAGGGCTCGTCGAGAAAGTCTAGATTACCTGGACACTTTTTAAAGCGTGCGCTATTGGTGCAACTCTATCGGTGAATAACTGTCCTTCATTTGCAGCTGCTATATGTATATATTATGAATTACCCCGAAAAAACAAACTTTAATTACTTTCGACGAGAATCCGTTTCTTTTCTACGCGCCCGTCAACTATCAATAGTTGACATTTTAGTATGAAAATTGTCGTTTTCTTTTTCTTTTCTTCAGGGAAAAATTTTCTTTGTTCCGTCGCTTATAACTCAAAGGTTATTGACATTTTCGTCGAAGTAAAAATCGATTCCAGACTAGTTAAGGAATCTGTTTAGAAAAACAACCGGTTTTTTTTAAGGATACTCTGTATGCGATTCCTTAACTTCACGATCTTCCAGAGAAATTAAACTTGGTTCACGGACGTTAACAGGTTGTATAATGGTTATTTATATATATTGCCGGAATGAATACAGCGTAAAAAGGAAATACGTGTATACAATGTATATAATACATTAAGTAGAAAGAATTCTCGCCATTGGTGACGGTGTCGCGAATTTTTATTCATTTGAGGCACATTACCGACGCGAATTTATATATACATTAAATAAGCTATGCCGTTATTATCATTTCTTATAATGTTTTAACAAATGATTTTTAAAGAATATGTAAACGTCAGAATACAATACATGGCTGCGGATTTTGCAATTATACTATTATTATTATTAATACTACAATAAAAATTGTAGAAAGAAAAAGGAAAGTATCGTAAGGTTCATTAAGAATTTACTGTTATTGCAGAATAACGAAAATTGATTGAAATTTGATGTCAGATGGTGGAAGTTGACGACGAAAGAAACTACAAGAAAGAAAAACGAAAAAAAAATTTAAGACGAAAAATCCTTGACGTTAATACTAAACTTCCGCCGAAACGGATCATCAGCAGTCGCATATCACAAGAAATATATTATTATCTCGTATATAAGGGTACAATTAACGAATATCATTTGCTTGAAGCAGTTTATTCAGTGATTTAGTTGGCGATATCTTCTGATTTTGAAGTAACAATTTGCTTCAGCGAACGGGAGGATTCAGACTGAAAATGAGCGATTTGAAGACTACTCTAACTCACTACTCAACTTCATACATAGATCGCAGCTATAAAGTAGAAAACGGTTGTGGAGTCTAATCTTTGCAATAATGGTATACAAGTCTTCCAAAAATAAAACACCTTATCCGAGGGAGTGGCAACAATTTGCCTTGAACTTGCGGATTTGGTCGATTTGTCGGTTTGTTTTTTTTCCTCTCGTCTTGAAGATACACCGCGAGTGAAAGGAATGGAACTTGTTTTAGGACAATCGCGGGATCGTTATCGTTCTCTTCGAGTTTTCTTCGTTCTTGCACACGCATCGTCATGTCGCGTCGTCGTAAAAGTACTTTCGGATACGGAGTTCCGCACGCGCCGCATTTTACATTGCAATTCACGAAAAATGTAAAATAAATTCATTAACTCTTACAATAATTAAGAGGATTCAATGCGCGCGGGATAATTGGTTGCGTGCTGAACCTTCGATTTTGGAAGCTAGACGATTGTGTGTGTGCGCGCGCGCGTTTGTGTGTGTGTGTGTGTGTGTGAGAGAGAGATATTATTTATTAAAGTGTAATCCGTTAAATCACAATTCAACGGATCTAATTTGCCATTTTGTTTATATCTGCTAATGATTTGCTTAGATATAGAAGAGAATTATTCGATAGGTGTCGTTTGATGATATCGATTAAGGTTGATGATTTGTATCGCGAGCTTCGATGAATCAAAATTACACAATTATTAATTTAATATAATTTTATTTAATATATTGTAGTTAATAGTAACAAATATATTTACGAATACATATTTTTATTTTTTTCTATTCATGCAAATATATTTTTCAGTGCTTCAAAGATATCTTCAATTTCGACAGTTCAAAGTTAACTTCAAAAATTTAAATTCTTCCAAACCTTTGAATTTTCCAAGTTATCAAAAGCCTTACTGGTGCAAAAGCTCTATACTTCTTGTTCATTTTTATGATTTTACTGGCACTAGAAAGTTCTAAATACGTACAAACGCCCAGTGACGATGACGAGAAAAGGTTTGCAGGAGAACAAAGATCCCAGGGAATTAGATCGGTATTCAAATTCAACAATTGTATAGATAGCCGTCGCCGACCAATTAATTGTATTAAATACTATGCGTGTCGATTTGTATAGATCTCTATAACACTTAAAGGTATAAGTATAGATGTTTGAACGTATGCACAATGTTTGATTCTTTCGTTTCTCGATTCGACTTGCGGACCCGCCTCGAGCGTGATTATGAAGGATCGGATTATAAAGGTGAGGTGCTTAATAATATTACGTGCGAGTTCAATGCCACTTCTAGCGGAACAGAAAGATGGAGAAAGAGGCTGCGAGAAAGAGAGAGAAAGAGAGAGAGAAGAATATCGTAGAAATACATAAATTTGATGTGTCATAAGCCCACATGAGAAAAAAATGGAATATATGAATCGGGCTCCGTAATCGTCGGCCGTTAATGGATGAACGAGATGGAATATTATCGATGCAGAGCCGATTTAAATAAACTCCACCAATCTCTCTCTCTCTCTCTCTCTCTCTCTCTCTCTCTCTCTCTCTCTCTCTCTCCTTGATTAAATATCCATAATTATAATGACATAAAATAATCGCTATATCATTCATGCGAGTAGTGTATCTCGCAATTAAAGGCTAGCTGCGATAAATCAATGACAAATTGCTTGCAAATTGGTGATCTAAGCAATCTCTTAATTTTTCAAAGAAAAAAAAAAGATGAAAGCATTTTATGAATTTATAGTTGTTTATATTTTCGGAATGAACATTTGCATAATTATCTTATTATCGTCAAAGCGAAATAGGTTTATCGCATATACATCTCACACACACACACACACACACACACACAGACACACACACACACACACACACAACGCGCGCGCGCATTATCGCTGCAACTTTTTATAAATAGGAGAGCTGGTAACCGCAAGTGTTGTAATCTTTTTATTTGGAGGAAAAATAATAGGACGAAATCGAGAGTCACGCGATGTGCCAAAAGTACTGTTATTTATCGTTACAAGTCCGAGGGACGATACGGATTATATCATAATAATCAGCTCATCAGCTTAGTCATTAATGCATCTTGCGGCAGAAGCGCGAGCATGGCTATCTTTTGACTTTTTTCGCGACAAATCGTTACACAGAAACGCTATTATAATACGCGGAGGATAGATTGGCTCTCGCGACGATACAAAGACGATTCTGTCTTTCGCAGTATTTGAAAATATCGCAACAGGATGCCGTATGTTATTCTCTATACGTATCTGCGAAACATATACGAGTATATCTCTTCACACGACACGCATTAAAGTCACGAAACGGCTTCTGATGGAGGCAAATGTGAGTCAAACGGGTTTCCGAAGACGAAGAGCGATCGTAGCGGGTGCGAAACGTCGCGTAAATCATCGTGAGAAAACGAGAAGAGGTGCTCAAACGTTACGAAACAGATAACAATTTAGCGATAACTAAACATAATTCGCAGAAAAATTGAATTAGCAACACGACGTGCGTTTCCCTAATTCCCTAATTCGAGTATGGCAAAATTTTGGAATTAATTCTCGCAAATAATGATAATAGTAGTTTTATCGAGAGGGTGGCAAATAAATAAAATACAAAAAAATTGGCCATTAAAATACTTCTTTAAGAGCGGATACAAATGGACACGATAACTACACAAAATTTCCAAGAGGATCAACGAGAAGAAGCGATTCCGAAATTGGAGAGCCGGCTGAACAAGATTTTTCTCTTAGGCGCTTTCTCATACTGTCGTTGTTCCGATCTTATTGAACTGTTATTGTTAATCGCAACGTTTTTTCCTCGACAACGAGTTAATTTCCGCAATGATTTCCTTCGCGTCGCTTACAATCAGATAAGCTCGCCTCCATCATTATTCGGAGAAAATGTCACGGAGATGTCAAAAATGGCTAATCCGTTCGTTATTGATCGACACGCCTTCGCCTTCGTGGATCTTCGAAGGGTATCTTAACGTAAAATCAAGGCCACGCCACCGGTTTCAGGCTGCTTTTATGCTCGCTGGTTAGTGACCTCTGCATCTATCCCTGGAAATAGTCGGAGATTTCGACGCTGTTGGATGCCTCTGTCCTTCCTCCTCGCGTTATCACTCACTTTGCTCTTTTTTCTATTTCGTCTCTCTCTCCTTATAGTTTCTTGTAAAACGAAAAGAAAAACAAGAACGGATAGGATACGTAGTATTATCGATCTATTTTGCTATATGTATCAAAGTTGTGAACAGCATAAAGAGATTGTAATTGAATCCACAGAGAGAAAGTTATTAATAGATTAAGGAAAAGGATTGCGATCCACCTTAATCGAAATACATATTATCATTGCCATTAATTTTTCTTACTTTTCTAGTGAAGACACAAACCGAATAATGGCTTCAATTTTTGTCTATTCTTTGTTTTTCGACTTTATAAGATATAACTCCGCGACGAGTACACAATAGTAATTTGACGTATCTCCTTTTGTCCTTCTCGTCTTCCCCAAAGAATGACAATGTCATCCTTCTTCCACTCGACGTATCGTTCGTCGAATGAGTAATGCCAGTGATTTTTACTTGGCGGTATATCTTGGCGAGTAGGTATATCGAAAGGACGTCGATACGCTCGAAGAGCGGGAGTCATCGCCGCGCCAGCCTTCGCGAGGTCGAGTTTCCTCGTGCAGAAGACGTTAATCTCCCCCCGAGATTAAATACGATACTGACCCTGACGAGACTTGCATTCGTAACGAGACAAGTGCTTGCAATGCTCTTCCTTATAACGATTATACATACTATATACAATAATAAGATTTTATTAGGACCGACGTGAAATCAAACACTCAAGTATATTCGATATATAAGTATATTCGAGCCTAGAAAATAATTCGCAGTGAATTATTTGGGCATCTGGAAGATCTAGCTTTGACCGTCATAGGCTTGAGTATACTTATACTCGAGTGTTTGATTATACATATAGCTAGTTCTCGTCGCTCACGCGCGCCGCAATCAATGTTGCTTGCCAAGTACGCACTGCCAAGAGTATGTGTTAATTGCTACCAGAATTGCAGCAACTGAGTCCTCATTTGTTGGCAACTTGATGTCTTCACAATATGATAACATTGAGTGCGACTTGCCAGCAATTTGCCGGCTTTAAAACAACTTTAAACTCGTCATCATCAAAATTCGTACTATTGCCATATCACGTTGTCATAATAATATGTAGCATCATACAACGCTGTCATATCGCCGACAACGCAAGATACAATATTAACGCATTTAAACTGTGCTGGCAATATATATATATATATACATGTGTATATACACATTGTTGCTGCAATGACGGTATATTCGAAATTATTGAATTGAAGACATATCTACGGCAAGGTACGGCTGCCAGCATCATAAGTAATCACAGATTTGTGCGATTCTGCTGAGACACGCTTTGCTATCCGAATATTTTATACAGATTACATATTTATACATAAATATAATACAGATACTTATACCGATCAGTCGCGAGTAATCAAACGCAGGATTTGCTGCACCCTTCGGCAGGATTTCTTTTACATAACTTAATAAAAGAGACGAAACACAATTTCCACAATAATCTCGCCGAAGAACATCTGTCGTTCGCAGCTAGAGCTCTCATCGGGCTACGTCCTACGATCTGACTGTCAGGAACAGATCTCGGCGATGGGTAGTCGGTATAAAAGAAACAGAGCATCTTCAGATTCACGTCGTATTCGCGTGGTATCTACATCGAACAGCATTCGCTGCCACTTCAACCTCTACTGCAAATCGCCACTTCCGACTACTCCAAGTAATTACTACGTTCATTTCAATTATTTTTTTTCAATAAAATTTTCGAGCATTACGAAACATTTTATTAATAGACCCAACAAAATGCTATAAAATAAATTTTTTGTAACAATCTGCATTCATTACGCTATGTAGATGAAATAGTAAACGTTATTTCACTTTATGCATTATCGCTAACGTAACTAAACGGCAGATTTTTAATACTGCAGTTTAAAAACAAAATTGATCAGAAACTCTTTTCTCTATTAACAGCTTGTATCGATAATAATATAAACCATTAAAAGCTTTCTTCAGTTATAAAATAGTACTTTATTCAAATATGTATATTTTTTGTTTACTAAGGCTATATCAAAGAAAGTGGAAAAAAATTGTTTAATAGAAATCATGAAAAGGGCTTCCAAACACGGTTTTATTAATCTTTCTCCCCTCCCCCCCCCCGTCTCTCTCTCTCTCTCTCTCTCTTCATATAGCATAATTACCTTAATAATTTTCAAATATTTTTCTACGTGTTACCTTCCCCTAAAGAGACATCTAAATCAATGGCTAATTACGTGAGGTTTGCTGTCATTGTCGCTATTATCATCGGAATCGTTCGTGGAGAGGAGTCCAGTGAGCTCGAGGATATCGACAGAAATATTCTAAAATTGAATCTTCCCTACGGCAGAAGATTGGTAAATGACCGTCCTTCTAAATGGCAATTAAAAGAGGCGCTTAAAAATTTGCTAATATATACGTGTCGCACTTATCATATTTCGAAATTATATTGAACGCTCCGACAAGATGAGATACGAGAATTAATTTGCACATCGATTCGGACTCGGAATGCTACTTAACTGTCGCGGTCGATACGCTTTGAAAAGGGAATACTATGTATAATATAATACTATTAAATAGGTTCATTAGGCGAATTTATGTACATAAGAAATGTGTTTATCTTTTTCAGGATAACGAATTGGAGCTGGTCAGATTGATGTTAGTGGCACCGCGATTATGTCATCCCAAACGTAATTCCGAGCTTATAAACTCGCTATTGGGTCTACCGAAAAATATGCATAATGCTGGGAAACGCAAGTAATTTCACTTGGTTGTACAAGATAATTCAAAGATATATCAGATATATGAAGATATAGAAATATACACTTCGTAGATTATCCACCAAAGAATATATACGAAAACGAAACATTTGAGAAAATCAAACAGGATTTATCAGTAATGTTCCTAGAAACATGGATCTTGTATAAAATGAATCAATATTAATAAATGTAAAAAGTCACATATATTCTTTCTATTTCATTACATCTTTCTGTTATATAATTCCTCTTATTATCTTTAATTCTCTTTATAACCCATACAGCACATCGATGTCCAAAGGACATCACATAGACATCTCTTGATATCTATACAATGTCATATAAATATCGGAACGTTCGTGCGACAAGAGATTGTGTGGGATCGCAAAGTGTGAACTAAATTACAAACATTAATCGTAAATATGCAATTTTTTTATATTTTTATTTTACAATAAATATTTCCATTATTCCTATACTAAAATAATACGTAATTCTGTATGAGAATAACTCATAGTTGGCAGGCCTTAGATTTGATACTCTCTGAATCTCGTTTTATAAGAGATCATTTATAAAAAGAGAGAAAGATTGTAAGGTGAATTGTAATCCATTTCATGAACAAAACTGATAGCTAAATATATGTATTACTTTATCATATGGCATATCAAATCATATGCCAAAATATATAAAGAATAATTGTAAGCATCTCCAGTTTATAAAAATAAAACACTATAAACTGGAAATGCTTACAATTGTTCTTTATATTTTGTTTATATGATTTTGTTTATAAAATTAAAAAAAATTTACATATTACATGAATATACATATACAATCATACGCGCGCGCGTGTGTGTATGTAATAATACGTTTCTTTATGTCTAAAGAAATATATTTTATATATTTTATACAAATGTATTAAAAAAAAAATGGTTATAATTCAGAATGCAAAATTGTCTCTCTCAACTAGAATTTTAAGTGGAAACCACCGCCAACCGGCGGCGCTCTACCACCTTCCATCAGTCCCATGTGAAAACCAGAATTGCTCAAATCGGCATCGTCACCGTCGCCCAATTGTTTGTATTCTCTGCCACCGCTCGGTGGCTTCGGAGACGCGTTCGTTGTTCTAATTCCTTGTTCCGATTTGGCGGGCCACGTGGGAAACATTTGTGGATCGATTGGCAAAGGCGCTTCAGTAAAGTATCCATGATTTAGCGCATCTTCAGCGGTTACACGTTGACGAGGATCATAGGTTAGAAATCTGAAGAGAAAAAAAAAAGAAAGAAAGAAAGAAAATAATTACGCTTTTAATCAAACTTATTCAGATATTGAAAGCGTTCTTCATATGGAATAACTTACTTGTTCAGCAATTCGATACCTAAATCCGACAACGACAAACTAAATCTTTGCCTGAGATTATTTACAGGATAATGTGCGAATGGGATTTTTTGTACTATAGGTAACTTGGCGTATCCTGGCCAAATCCTTTCGCTTGGTGTACCTAACTCTTTAAATATTTTATTTAATTGATCTATATCCGATTTTCCTGGGAACAGTGGTTCCATCCTTAGAAGCTCGGCGAAAATGCATCTGAGAAAGTACTATCATAAATATCATAGCCTATATTTATATAAATTCTAAAATTTTATACAACATACTGATAATGCGTTAATATTCTTAATTTAAAAAAATTAAATATTAAGACATTAAATTACACTTACCCTACGGACCACATATCTATAGGCGTGCTATATATTCCTAGATACTCTTTGTCACACAGCAATAACTCAGGGGCTCTGTACCAAAGAGTTACAACAATCGGTGTGTATTGCCTCAAGGGAGAGCCATATTCTCGAGCTAAACCAAAATCGCCGACTTTTAAAATGCCTCTGTGACTTAATAGCAAATTGGATGTCTTTAGGTCGCGATGTAATATCCAATTATCATGTAGATGTGCGACCGCGCGCAACAATTGTTGCATAAGACATTTAACTTCTCCTATAATAGAAAAAAATATCGATTTTTCTTTACGTTCGTATATTTTTGTTATAAATTGAGAAGTAAAAAATTTGAGCAGTGTAAAATGTAATATGTAATTCACGAAACATGTATTTCCATATTACAAATCCTTAACACGTTCCGTGCCGTATGGGCCACTGATGACCCATGCTGAATTTTCTGTTTGATTTTCTGTTTTGGCTATAAAAAGATACGTAATTATAAAATAATTTCTAGCATCACATACATAGATATTTAATTATAATATATGATGCAATATTGGTGTGTATATATATTGTAAACCTTTTTCTTCATAATATTTTTGCAATTTTTTAACCATTATAAAATACATTGTTTTTTAATAAATATAATAAAAATACAAAGAAAAATATCGTAGACCCACCGGTGACCGATGATAAAGTCACTTAAAATTGGTACGGCACGGAATGTGTATCTTAGATTGCTAATCTATGATTAAGCATTATTTTTAACTTGTATCTTTATTAAAATTGTTTTTCATTTTTCAGTTTATGCTGTTATTACGCCCAACTCTTCAATTGGTTCTTTACTTCATTATATACTATAACAGAATATACTCACCAGGTATAAAAACTTGTTTCTTCTGCTTCATGGTTTCTATCAGGGATTTCAGATCATGCTCCACGTAATCCATAACAATAAATATTTTATCCATATTGCTGCCGACGACTATCTCCCGCACGGTAACAATATTGGGATGTTGTGCTTTCAGTAAAGTATTGATCTCTCTCAGGCTTGTAATCGGAAAGCCTTCTTTTTCCTTTTCCATTTTCAATCGTTTCAACGCTACTATCTCCTCCGTACGTTTATCACGTGCCCTATATACGACTCCATATGTACCTTCTTCGATTCGATTTAAACATTGGAACTCCTCGACACTTCTACAACCTAAAGAGTAGAAAATTTGCAATACGTATACAATAAAAAAAAAATAACAAAAAACCAAAGATAGATCTTAAACTTAAACCTTCATTTCTTACAGAAATGAAGGTGCGTATACATGTAAATTCACATCGAAATATTATTAATTCTAACTCGCCATCCTAAACAACATGCGCGTACCCTATGCGATTTTTTTACATTGCTGTAACTATCTGACACCTCTGGATTGAGGTTCAAAAAAAAACTTTAACTATCCATAGGTATTATGATAAGCCTGCAAGGGTAATTTTTTACGTTATTCTTAACGTGAGAGTGCACAAAAGTTTTAAGAAGGTTCTACGCCTGGAACCTGCGTGTGACCGTGATTAGCTCGTAAGTTTCGGCGTTCTGGAAATCCCTTTATTATTATTATTATTATTATTATTATTATTATTATTATTATTATTATTATTATTATTATTATTATTATTATTATTATTATTATTATTATTATTATTATTATTATTATTATTATTATTATTATTATTATTATTATTATTATTATTATTATTATTATTATTATTATTATTATTATTATTATTATTATTATTATTATTATTATTATTATTATTATTATTATTATTATTATTATTATTATTATTATTATTATTATTATTATTATTAGATATATGTTTACCGTGTTTCGGTTAGAATGAAAGTAAGTATATGAAATTGTAGAATTAAAAAAATTTATTTTAATATAATAAAAAGTAGTAGAAAGTTTATGGCCTCTGTCAATCTTGGGAGATCGCTTGACCGGGCCGGATGTACTATTGATTCAGACTGAGCTGCATCATTCTCTAAATTATCGGTGTAGCCATCGGCGCTGTCGAAACCAAAGGATGAAAGAGGCGCAATTACTGATAGGTATAGTTTTGTAGATAGTTCTAAATATTAAAATTGTATTCATTAGTTGTAAAATTACAATATGTACATTTTTTTTTTAATCTCGATGCTTTAAATAACTATATTTTTTTGAGTGATTCATATTGTATTATTTCTTTTAGTTAGTCCAAAGGGTCAACTAAAAAAACCCTATATTTTTTTTGTTTAAAGTTTAAATTTTAAAATTTGAGAATTTTTTATTCAAGATAGTCAATCTTCGCAAGCTTTTTCAATTAAATTTTTTTAAGCCACTGTAATTAATTTAAAATAATATATTTTTTATTTGATTCATATTTATCTGTCTTTGTCTGAGAAAGACTTTGAAATACAGATTTCACATATTTTTCAGTTAAAAAATATGCATTCAGAGATAAAGCAGAGTGACAAACAAAATTGCAGAGTTCCACAGGCTCTGATATGGCCGGGAAGGTAATAAAAAATAACAATGGAGCGTTAGGATTAAGCATTAAAATTCAGCTCAGACTGAATGAGGCATTGTTCTTATTCATTCACATGTCTAGCGTGTATTTAAAAATTAAATTTGAAATGAAATTGATAAAAGACAAAAAAATTAAATTAAAGGAATAAAAACAAATGTGAAATGATCAGATTGAAGATGATTTACAATGAAAATCTCTCTAAATCTTTTATCATCTAGCAGAAATTATCTTCACATTAAATCAATTTTATTATTATTATTTTATTTTTAGGTTATATTATTAAAATTTTTTACACCTATAGGCTGACTTACAGTCGAGTGCTTTTATTCCCTCAATTATATTTTTATATTTTTATATTTATTTATAGCACACAGTTTTTGCTTACCCTGAATAGCTGGCAGATACGGCGGTAATTCCGGTTCCTCCACTTTCTTTTCCTCCTCTTCTATGTTTTTCGAAGCATTGTTGGAATCAACATGCCCAGGAGAGCCTCCATCCGAATGATCGGATTTGGCTAATCGATCAACGGACAATGGACTTGGATTGTTATATTCTGAGCCATCATTGGAATCACCAGCAGAACCTTTATTTGACTCATTAGATTCGTCGTCGTCATCACTGCTTGATTCCGAGGAATCGGACGAATGTCGCTCCGAAGATCTTTCATGTGGACTTCTTTCTCCTTCGGTTGAGTGTTTAGATTCGGCTGATTTTGATCGTACACCCTCGGAACGAACAGGACTGATGCTTTCATCCGATAGCTCTACAACTGAAGGATCCGGATTGTTACCCGGACTCATGGGTCGTTTCTCACCTCTCTTCATCCTTCTCGCTTCCAATTCCATCCTAGATACTTCTTTTCGTCTAGCCATTTCTCTATCGGCTTCTAATAGCCTTTCTTTTCTAATTTCTTGCTCCGTCATTTCTTTTGGATCTTTAATCTGTATCGAGATCTCATTTTGCACATCCATCTCATTAATGTCATCGGTTACAATTTCCATCGCTTCCCGTAGCTGCTTGTCCCGGTGCTCCTTTTCGCGCTCCATCTTCTCTTGATCTCTCTCGCGAATACGATCGTGCTTGTGAGATCTCTTGCGGCGTTTCTCAGATCGTTCCATCAGTTCGCTTTCCGAAAACTGCTCTTCCATGATCACTCGTACGTGTCTCTGTTCCTCCATGCGAATCTCACGACGTTCTCTACCGTCGTCCACCGTACGTATTTCACGACGGTCCCGAATATCTTCCATCCGTATTTCTCGCCGATCGCGCGATTCGCGTAAATCTCGCAAGTCCTCCACCAATCGTACCTCATGTCGAGATGACTCGATTTTATAACTCCGAGTATCACGTGGATCCTCCCGTCTCTCTCTTCTCTTATCCAATAATCTAAAATACACACAAATATCTTATATCTATATATTAAAAGAACCAATTTATATAAATAATCATTATACTATTTACATTTACATTTTTTTTTAAGTAGACGAGAAGAAATTCTACAATTACCTTTCTCTTAAATCTTCTAGGACACGATCACCTGTACTTCTTTCCTTGCGATCGTGCCTGGAGGATTCTCTATCTCTAGAATGGCTTTCCATTCTGTCTAAGCGTTCCATCCTCTCACGATTCCTCTTGGAGCTTTCCAAACGTTCGGATCTCTCGAGAGGCTCTCCCACATGCCTACGGTGCCTATGCTTGTCCCTGTGTTGTCTGTCTTCACGTTCGTGTTGACGCGATTTGCGTTCTTTCTCATCTCTACGATTTCGCCTGTCGCTGTGCTTCTCTCTTCGACGAGACGAACTAGATTTATGATGGCGAACAACTGCCTGCGGTGGTTTGATATCCAAGGAATCGGCCGTGTCGCCACCCTCTTCCTCTGAAAAGCTGTAGATTATCGAACAATTAATTCGTCATTAAATTCAAATCGATGATATACTTAAAACTTTTAACGTTTTAACAATATTTAAACTTTACGAATCTTTTGACACAATTGATGAGAAAACAATTAAGAGAAAAGTTTAATAAATATTTTAATGCTAAATAAAACAAATGTATCCCAAAGAAAAAGGGACGCGATGTCGCGAGGAACATTTAAATACCAAAGAAATAAAAATGAAAATAATTAGATCACTCGTAGTATAAACGTGCATTGTCTCGCCGAGTTTTGAATACCTAAAAATTCTGGGCAGCATCGCTCGTCATTCTGTTCCGTGAGACGTTATGCAACACGTTTTCATTTATCGTAAAAGAAAAGGAGGCTCGAGAGTAATCTCTCAATGGGATTAACAAAAACCACTCGACGCCAAGTCCGTCCTGTATGCCATTCGTGAATCGCGAATCGCGACTCGCGAGTGTATTGTATGTATGATGTATGTATGTACCAGGTACTACCTTCGACAGTCGACTCGCTCCGACAACCGATTTTCGAATGCCGAATGCCGAATGCCGAATACAAAAGGACAACAATTTGTCGCGCAAGCGCGTACATGCGCCTTAAATGTAAATGTTGTTTTAAGCTAACCTAGACAACGTTCACTTTCACGTGGCTTAGACAACAAGAAGTAACAGATGTGTAATTGGCTGGTAAAGCGGCTGAGCTTTTTCTTTTAAACCTAATTTCGAACAAATTACACGGCAATATCATAAAAATAAATACCTAAAATCACCCATATCCTTCGATGGACTTTTCTTAATTTCTCCGTCTTCGCTCTGATTATCGATATCCATATCCGACGTATTCGTGGACATATTCGCGCGCAACGATTAATTGAGTTTTAACCTATACTCATTGGAATATCGCTCGTTGTTTTCGAACGTGCTTCCATTTTTACAGAATTACAGCCCATGGAAGGATTAGCGGAATAATCAGCGTGATGCTTAATTATAAATTTTGAATTGTAAATATAAGGAAAAAAAAAAGATATCACAATTTTCCATATCTGCACTCCGTACCACTAGCGACGTTACGTGTTGCGACTTCACTACAAGTTTAGTGAGACAAAAATCATGATGGTGGAAGGGATAGTAAAGCCTTGTGTTCACGATACTACAAATCGGTCCGAGACCTCGGATGAAGAAAGAATTGACCAATCGCAATGGTCATGTGATCAGATTGTTCAAATGTGAATTGTTAATTTTTTCTCTGTCCGAGATCTCGGACCGATTTCTAGCATCGTGGACATCGGGCTTAACATAGGTCTGTTCGCGATGCACTTTTGGCACTCGACATTTTCGCTTATCTCTCTTTTTAAGGCAAAATTTGTATTTATCTCTTGCATTATATTTTGCATTTTAAATGCAAAAATATTTGGGGATTTCGTGCAATGCGAACAGGGTATCAATCATGAAACTTTATCCCTAGGATGAAAAATGAAAACTTTAACCAGAGAAAAACTTGAGAGAGGACATAACGGATGACGGCCTAAAATCTGTAACCGCAAAATGCTGCCGCGCACTACTGCCCTCTGACAAAGTGGATGTAAACTGCATAGCAACGTCCACTTTTCTTTCGGTACATCGTCCACTTTTTAATGTTGGAGATGGTAAATCGATATTTAGTTCATATAATCGTGCCACACGTAAGGGGCTTATTATGCTCCGCACAATAAAAGAAACACGGAACAAAGAACAGAGAATAAGAATTTCAACCTATCAGAAATCATGTATTGTGAAATACACAGTTTCTGATAGGTTGAAATTCTTATTTTCTGTTCTCTGCTCCTTTTGTGCGAATCCTCTGATACCCGTATTCATAGTCCTTTCTTGACCAAACAAGGAGCTTTGTTAGCTTCCTTTTCTTAAAGGAGGTTACGAGTTTCCTTGAGGAAGAGATGTAGCCTTTATATCCAAGCAAATCTCCAAATTTAATTCGTCACACTAGTCTTTTTACTTTTAATAACTTTTAATCTGATCGATAATTATTTTTGATAGCTTTTTTTCGGAAACAAACTCCTCTATAAGCATTTTCTCCTTCTTCGTATAATAAGCACTATGGCGAATTCGATTGAAAGCACTGAGGCATATTAAAGCCGTTGTACACTAATTTAATTTGAGTATAAAAATAAAATATTTCGAATTATAAAATACATATTTTATCTAACAGTACAATAAAATGTATTGAGTATTTCACAATTTAATCAATTTATTTATAAACATATATTTACCTTATTTTGTATACGTACGGCGGTTTTAATGTGCATCAGTGCGCACTGAATGCGTTCAATTGAATTTGCTATTAGTTTTATTTTTGTCCATTATTGTTGCAAAATGCTAATCACGATATTATTTAATCAACAATACCTTTATAATCTTTATTATTCGTAATTCGCAATATTAGATTTGCATATATTGTATATTATGACATGCTGTCTTCAGTAGGTTACTAAAATCCCTAAAATATTCCTTCCTTAGAGAAGACAGACTTGAGATTCGTTTATGAAACAAGGAGGCCTTGGAGAATCGAGGAATCCTTCATGGAGGCTGTCTCCTTAAAATAAGGAAGGACTATGAATACAAGTGTAATACGATTATATGAATTATTCGAGACAAGACCTCGGACGAAGAAAGAATTGACCAATCGCAATAGTCATGTGATCAAATTGTTCGAATGATTTGTTAATTTTTTCTCTGTCCGAGATGTCGAATTGATTTCTAGCATCGTGGACATCGGGCTTTATTGAGGCTGGAATATCGATTAAAAATATCACTATATCGGCTGAAGAAAATCAATATTTCGATGTATCGACTATCAAGTCGATACCGCCATTCCTACTGCGCATCCACGGAAATAGTTTACCTTGCCGCTACGTATTTCCGCCACGGAAATATGCACTTCAAGTTACTCCAAGTGACTCTATATCGGAACAAGTCTGATTCTTGAAACGTTAATTCCTATGCTTTTAACAACGGATCAAGTAACTTGGATAATTTATATTTATTATTAGTTATATATTCTTACACCTTTATTTATTTACATATTATACCAGCCGATTGTTATAACTGTACATTAGAAGATGAATAGCAATAACGACGAAGTTCTTCATTGTCCTTACAACAAGTATCATCGTATAGCTAGTTCGAAATTTCAGCGACACCTTGTAAAATGCGAAAAGGTGACATATAATTTTATGTATTATGATCCGTTTTGAGAAGTATATAAACGAATATGAAATTTTCGTGTAGAATTTTCCTCCTGATTACAAGGTTATCTGCCCATACAATGCAACTCATCGTTTGAGTAAAAGTGAGATTGAAGAACACATCAATACATGTCCTATGAGAAGGACTGTCGAAGGAAGTTATATTCGGCGTAAGTATGCGTAAAGTTACTCTAAAACTCTCTGACGAAATTTTTAGTATTTATTATAAGACTCCCTGCACGTTTATATATACACGAAAATCTTTTCAATGTAGACAAAATACTGATAGCTATGATATAATTCAATTTTATGTAGCGCCAACAACTCGTGGGACGATAAGAGCAGAACAAAATGATTCTACAAGTCAAATTGATTATAATAGTTATTGGGGAAGTCAAGAAGAAATATAAGATGGTAAAGGTCCTGTAAGCTCCATAATAATAATTAAACTCGTGGATCAGAGGAAAAATATAAAACTATTTGTTAGGACGTCAAGTCAATACAAGTTGAAACAATAATACCTAGTTACAATACATCTAGCTTGAATTTGTAATTCTAGCTTGAATGTCAGTAACAAATCACATGAGACAGAATCTAGAATATGATTATACAAATAGAGTGAATAGGACAAAGAAAAAATTAAAGAAAACCTAATAACCTTTTT